CCGTTTTTAATGGGGAGATTCTGAAAACGAAGCAAATGTCTGCCTCTAGTTTTAGTTTATGGTGGCAAAGGCACCGTGCAAGAAGCTTACCTAGCTAGATTCATAAGTGTTCCTTCAATATTGGTGCCATCCAGTGCGCTGCATTCGGCAAACAATGCCCCCACTGCCTGAACTAATCTTCATCAATAACTGCAGATCCATTGGACAATATCTACTCTAAGCATTAAACAGGAAAGATACTTCAGAAAGACTGGACCTGCTAGTTGGTATACCAGGGAGTCCAATCATTTTTAGACTTTCCTTTGTTTTTTCAGAAAAAAATGCTGGATGCATTGCATTCCGACCGTTATATGCATCCAACTCACTTCTTGGCGATCTTCTTCTGCTTTGACTTTACAGGAGGGGACGAGCGAGAGGGGTTAGTCGCATAGAATTCTACGATCATCAAATGTGAGTGCAGAAATGAAAATTCAATTCCTAACCATTTTCAGAGATGCTAAAATATTATTTTTCTGGAAAAAAAATCAGCTTCTATCACCATGCGCTCTGTGGAAAACAGAACACCGACCGAAAAAAAAGTAAGTCACCCCGGAAATCCCTTCGTCCCTACTTCTTCTTTTATGTTGCTTTTCTGTAATCCAGCTGTCGCTTACTAATCCAAATGCAATAGCGGCAAAATCCAAACATTTTTGGAATGCAAAAACTACCGCTGCTATGGCCTCCCCATCTGCTGTTGAAATTGTCTTTCGCAAGCCCCGAATGCTCCTAAGATCGATTTTGTTGCCACATATCATGACTGGTATGTGTCTCATCGTTGATTCCTGAAACTATTCAAAATGCATTTTTCATTTTTTCCGCATCAAAATAACCTGAATATTTCTCTTTAATCGTTATGGCATGCTAATGGTGCAATGGTTACTGAATTAACACGTACAGAATAGCAAATTCAGTCTACTTTGAAATGAAAACGCAGCTTGGTCTAACAGTACCATTTTAGTTTAGAGTGGCGCGAATTTCAGCAGGATGTAGGTAACGGGATGCCAAATTGCTTTTAGAATCCGAAGTTAAAACGCGAGTCCATCTTACGTGACGGGAAATGCATTTTCGCCTTTAGGTCAAGGAAACCATGGCTTGATATTTCAAGTATGCTTCTCTTTCGTCGGATGCCCACTTATAAACTACCTTACGCTAAAAATGGATGTGCGTGGAAATTAGCGGCCTCTTTAAATGTTACCTTAATTGTTTCAATCCATTCTCGAACATTCAGGAAGGTTTCTTCAGCAGTGCAGTCATACACAAGTATAGCACCGTCAGCTCGACGAAAATAACTTTTACAGAGACTGCGAAATCTAAATGGTAATTTTCAAAATAACAGTGATTTTTTGGACATTGTGAAGATTTGATGCTAACAGAATTATGGAGCCCCACCCGCAAGTCGGATGCAACTATGCCAAGCCTTTCTGCTCTTTAAGCCCCATCAAATTCAGTTATCGCGCACACTTACACCATGAATATGGTTATGTTAAGGTTCGCAGTGAGCACAATGCCAACTCGCAAACAACCCGAAAACAGCGAAATATAATTTTGCCAAAATGTTCATTGCCCGTTTGAAGATTCAAATACTTAAATGGAGTTTCAAATTGCACTTGTGCCA